TTTTTTTTTTCTGTAAGTCCAAATGTTTTTATTTGAAGCAGCCAAGTGAAATAACAGTTGCTGAAGTTTTGTGTTGTTTGTTCAGGGTACATTGGTCAAAAGTTATGATACAGTTTGACAGGGACTGTAGCATTTTTAATACATATGTTTGGTGATTTGCTTTTACTGGTTTTAGTAGCCGTACAGTTACTGTGCTAGGCATTGAATTATAGGATAATTTTCAGCAAATTTACTTCATTGGTAGGTTTTGTGGCCCATGCTGATTTTTCCTTTACACTGCAGTAATGCCTCAGTGCTGTGAAGTCCTTAGACCAGGAATACCTGAAGGAGCAGTTGTAACTTGCTGTCATGGTGTAACCTCAGCTGGCAACTAAATGCCACATAGCTGCTCGACCACTGCCCTCCACGCTGTGTCATGGGAGGAGAACTGTTCAGGGAAAAAAACCCAATGTGAGACCCCATGGGTTGAGATAAGGACAGTTCAGTAGAGCAACACAAAGAAGAAACAGCAGTAATGAGGATAATTCTAATGAAATAATATATAGGGGGTTTTGCTGCTGTGGCTGCATGCTGAAGGCAGGTGCTGAGAAGAGGCACCAGTTCCTGCTGTGGCGAGCGTGCTGTTGGTGCCTGTCAAACCTCCCGCTGGCTGGGGCCGTGGTTTGGCCAGGCTGTGGCCCCTCCAGGCTGCTCCTGGACATCACCCTCTGCTCTCCAAATGCAGGACACGTGCCTCTGCATCCCCTTTCCCAGCTGTGCTGGGCTACTGTCATGCCTCACGTGGTACTGAATATTAGCATGTGCAGACTTAGGCAATTCATTGATTCATGCATGTTTCGTGTTTTGAAAGATATTACCTTCAAGTTCAAGTTCTGTGCAAAAGCAAAAAGGACTTAAGTGGGGGCATCTGAAGCAAATCAGACACTAAAATCTGTAATACAAAAGTTTTGTTTGAAACACTGATATAGTTGCAATAGCTTGATGTAAACAAGAACTGGGGAGAGGGGTGGGTTTACATAAGAACACTCTTACAACTTGGGTACAGGAAGGAAATTTTTTTTTCTTATATCATTAGAATACTTTATGCTTTATAATTTTTCTCTGTGTGTGAAACATTGAAAAGTGATTGACTTGAGTGAAAATTTTGCTGCAGAGTTTTTCTCCTTTGTGTAGGTTGTATAGATAAGTAAGTGATTGTGTTTAGGTTTTATTAATTTTGTACGATGCACATTTTCAAAGCAATGCTTATTTCAAGCTGTGTGTTTTTGCTAGAAATAGTGAGAAGATGTTGTTATAGCAAGACTTTTAAACTGGAAGGCTTCAAGAGTATAAAGTAGGAGGATAAGAACGTCTTCAAATTTGTTTTGTCATTGAACACTGAATATTTGCTGTTACACTGTGACTTCAAAGTTGCCTGCAAGGTTGATTATTTATTTTTATAATGCTTTTTAACAATAAAATTTATCTTTTCTTGTAGATAAAATACAAAATTTGAATGAAGATAATGAGAAGAACAGTCATTTCATCTATGAGAATGCTGAAGACAGTAACAAAACCAATGCTGAAGCTGCAGACACTTCTGTATACAACATTGAAGCCAAGGACTTACCTGATTCTTGGGACTCCCACATTGGAAAAACAGCAGACTCTCCATCAGAAACATCTCAGATGAAAGGGCCATTAAGAACTCACTTGTATGAATGGGAGGATGAAACTGAAGACACCAGAACTGGAGAATATGTATTAGATTTTGGTAACGAACAGCTCTCCGAGGTGAAGAGCAAGGATGAAGAATGTGATAAAGAAGATAATGAAAATCCAAAGGAAGCCATTAGTGAAGAACTTGTGCAAACTATTCCTAGGCCAAGCAACTGTAGGACATACTGTCGATCCAACAAAGCAAAACAGCAGGGGACAACAAATTTTGACAAGCTAATGGATGGCACTAGCCAGTCTTTATCCAAACCAAATAATGAGTCAAATAATGACAGTCTGAACCCAGCAAGGAAAGTTTCCTTAAGTAGTGGGACCAGTTTTAGAGGGACGGTTGGACGGACTAGAGACTACACTGTTCTACATCCATCTTGCTTGTCAGTTTGTAATGTGACTATACAGGATACCATGGAACGAATGGATGAATTTACTACAGCAGCCCCTACTGACTTGGGAGAAGCTGGACGCTTAAGGAAAAAAGCAGATCTAGCTACTACAAAAACTACAACCAGGTTTAGACCGAGCAATACCAAATCCAAAAAGGATGTCAAATTAGAGTTTTTTGGGTTTGATGATCAAGATGAGGGAGGGGGAGATGAAGGCGCCTCTAGAAGTTCTGGGAGTTCCAATTACAAAATCAAGTACTTTGGGTTTGATGACTTGAGTGAAAGTGAGGATGAAGATGAAGAGTGGCAGGCAGCAGAAAGGAAAGCTAACAAAAAACGAAGTAGAACGGCACCATCTTCTTCACTACAGTCAACCTCTGATGGCAATGAAAACTGTTCCCAGGATAGCCAGCTCAGTACTAATGCAGGTAAGCAAAACTTTTAGGGAATGCATCCTTAACGTTTACATTTAGCTGAGCTTTATACTTTGTTGGTTTTGCAGTATACCTAGGAGCTAGTTGAACAGTACTGCTGATCTGGAAATCTAAAAGTTAAATTTGCTTCTTTCTGCTGTGGGTCCTGTCTGGTGTTTCATAGCTGTCTTGAAGCATGCTTGGCATCCCTTGATCTCTTGCCAGAGGTGGAGTTTTCTCTTTTTGAACAGAGGATTCTTACCTTTTTGGTGTGTGTGGAGTATACAGTACCTCTGCCTGGAAAGCAGATATCTTCCCACAGAAGCTCCACATCAACCCAGGATTACGGAGTCAAGTGCAAACATTTAAGTAGCTCTTGGAGATGAGAACTATCTTTTTTCCTTTTTGTGCTTTTGAATGTTTTTGTAAGTGTTTGGACCTTTCTCAGTTTACATCTTGTCCAAGGGCAAGGCTGTGGGGACCCATGGAGTGTCAGTCAAATGACTGGCTGTGAGCGTGCCTCTGGGTATTGATGTGCTTCTGCTTTTGCTTCCAGTTTTCAGATACTGTCATCTTCTGCGTAGGTAGTACGTGTGTGGGGGTAAGTATGTGCACACACATGTGTGAGTAAAATGTTCACACAGAATTTGTTGAGCAAATTCTGGTATTTGAGTGCCTTTGAGAAGTGAGACTTGCTTGGTGCTCAGTTCGGTCCCATGTAGTGACTTTCATCGAGGTTGATGTGTTGGTGAAGATGAAAAGGAGTAACTTGAAAATTTCACTTGATTTGAGAAGTTTCTTTATCATTTTATTTTTTAAAAAGTAATACCAAAGAATCATGTCTGTGGTAGAAGTATTTCAAAACACATCCACTGTTATAGGGAACTGTTTGATCCTCCATTTTGGAGCACAAAGCATGAGAAGTTTTTATCCATTCACTGAAGTTCTTACATTCTTAAGACTTTGGCAAGATGTATTTCCATGTGGTGGGGAAAGGTAGACTCAAGTTAGACTTGAGTCTAACCTTGCAAATGCTGGAGAAACTTTTTTCCAACAAATAACTTCTGCTAATACAATGGAGAAATAAAATTTCATAGGATAAAAGTGTTCATTTCTTCATTCTAATTACAACAATCTAAACCCAGAATTGTCTGTAAGCCTTTTAATCAAAGGTAAATGTAACTGCTAGATATTTTATTTTTTGTGAATTCTAAAAGGGCCAGGCAGTTACATGAGAAGATTGTGTTTTCAAACAAAAAAACCCTTGATTTGTTTTCATACAGCTTAATTATGGTAAGACACATGCATTCCAGCCTCTTTGCAAAATGGGTTTAACTTAGAGGGCCACTGCTGAAATACTCCATCTGAGTCCCTTTCTCTGATGAGTCTTTGTTCAGCTATTTATTCCAAGGGGAAAAAAAAAAATCACTTATGCAGTTAATGCAGCTGAGATGCTGACCCATCACATAATCCTTTCAGCTGCTGTCCTCTGGAGTCTCAAAATATCCACAATGTGTATTCAGTACTATATTCACCAAAGAGGCCATTGGACTCTGAGGTATCACAGATTATTTCTCTGAAATATTTTCCTAAGAGATTTCCATATCACAGGAAGATGAAAATTTGTGCTTTGTCAGTTTATTAACACACTTTTTCACTCTCCTGGTGCCTGCACTGAGATGCTTCCCCTTTAGTTTGCATCTCCTTTGCTCATTTGATTCCTGTTGTGCTGCTGTAGCCAGGTGAGGTATGACTTGCATTTTTTCTTCTGAAAATGAAAAGGGTGACATGAAGCTCTTTCCC